TTTTCCTTTTCTGGGGAGTTAAAATACAAAAAAAGCGAAGCACATTTTGCACGCAATTCACCCACATGCCGTGCTAGCTGGAAATTTACGTAAAATTGCTTTTTTTTTTTTTTTTTTTTTTTTCCATCCTTTTCACTTGGAAAATTAATATTAACATAATAGCTAGCTATTGTAAAAATATTACTTTTTTTTTTTTTTATTTCACCCATTTGGTGTAATTTTGTTTCGCATTCTCATTTAAGTCTTATTATATGAACTCATGGTTTAAAAGACAAAAGTGGGAAAACTTCCTTTCCCTTCATGTGTGTTTTTATGGTGCCCGTATCTAATTAATTATTATCATTTTTTATCCGTTCCTTTTCTGCACATTTTGTTTAAATTCGCTTTTTTCGGTCATTTTTAATTTTCCTGTGCGCGGCGAAGCAAAATTTTGTGTCCGCATTATTGCGCCATTGTGGGGCAATTACAATTTCTATTGCGCGAGAGCGTTTGAACAGGTGGGGGAAAGGGCCATAAGTCTTGACTTGGATGAGCCGTAAGAAGAGTATACTATTATGCATACTGTGCCCGTTCACAATGAGTATTATTTCGTATTTGTTAAAACGGAATGGTAGGGAAAGACAACGTAAGGGTTAAAGTACCGGCAAAACTAAACTTGTCCGTGGGTTAAAAGGAGAACATATTTTGTGTGTTCTTGCTCAGTACAGAACATGCCCTTGGTGCCCTTTTTTTTTTTTTTTTTTTTTCTTTTCATACAATTTAAAGAGGAATGGCTTATGCTGTGATTATACTTTTTAGAACAAAGGGGTACGCGTGAAGCATTTTTTTAATTTATGACAAATGGGAGTAAACTTCATGCAAAGGATGTCTACTGCCCAATACTGCCGCTTTCATTACGGCACAAATGGACCAAAGACAGGTGATAACTTTTTAGCCCTGAACAATCGAGTTCCTCTTTAAATCCCTAGCTTTGACATGTGCAAAGCGAGGGGTGCCCACTGTGTTGGCGCTTTGGGTGAGCACAGGAAACGGTTTATAACGGAGTGAAGTTAGTTCTTTTATATTTTGCTTCCCTATGGTTCAAAAATGTGGTTAATTTTTTCCACCTCCATTTTTAAAGTTATCAAAAAATGCAGAACGCCATTTTTCTCTTACAATAGGGGTGCACAGAAAAAAGACTGCTCATCCCGAGTTGCCCATTTTGCAATTTGTAGTTTTTCCCCCAAATGTAGAAAAAATGGTACATACAAATATTGCTTATAAATGCATATGGGTATGCCCAATATGACCTTGGCGCACATGTGTACAGGGAAGCACGAGCGGATCGGCATCGCGCTGTACGTTATTTTGGACGGCGACTGCGCACTGATGGCTGACGTACTGACGCGTTGAAACTCCTTTCATTTGCGAAATGTACGTCGGTTGAAATGTCTTTCTTGTTTTTTTTTTTCCCCTTTCCATTCATTTCTTTATAACTTCCTTTCATTTCATCGTCGGAGAAACGAGCATCATGTCGGACGCAAAAAAAAAGTGTTCACCAGAGGGGGGTCAGGCGAGCAGCAAATACGCTCACGGGTAAAGCTTTTTTTTTTTTTTTTTACAAAAGAAAGTGGGGGCATTGCATAATAGTTACAGCAATGCTGCATAAACTGTATGGCCATATTGCCGCACTGCTATTACAACCATTGGGCATATATATGTATACAAATTCTGAGTTGTCCGGAAAGGCGCAGACAGCCAGCAAATTATATATATTACTCCAAAACGCACGTTTTGGCAACTTGGTGCCTCGCTGAAATTTACGTTGCCGATAATTATGCAGTAGTAAACTCTTACTTTATTCGGACAGATGGTCTGTTTTTTTTTTTTTTTAAATTTATAAACGCGCGAAAAGAGGCACAGATGAGCACAGCAACAAAAACTTGTCAATCTTGAGAAAGCGAAAAAATTGCAGTTTTCAAAATTTAGAAAAACATATGCGCAATATTTTGCATAATAATAATATGACATACAGATTGAAGAATATTTTTGCGTACGTATAAAAAAAAAAATATCTGTCATTTTGTTATTTGCCCCATATTGCGCCTATGCGTGCCGCGAGAGCATATGTCAAATGTATCATGTTTATAATTTTTTATATATTTATAACTGTTACATGCTTATAACTTTTACATGTTTATAATTTTGCATGTTTAAAAATATGTATTATTGTTATGTTAACAGGTTTACGCATTTACCAAACTTCTTAGCCCATATATATTATACTTTACCTTACTGCGTACTTACCAATATTTTAAAAAAACATGCAGAGCATGCACACAGAAAAAAAAAAAAAAATAGGTTATAAATGCTAGAAGGAAAAAATTATGCGCGGTTGGTCGGTACAATAATATTTGCGTATAGATTCCGTAATTTTTTTTTTTCTCCAGAAGGATTAAAGAATTATTATTTCTAACAAGGGGTGACATATATATTATTTATATGTACCTATATAAAAATTTATTTTACGTTGCGCCTTTTCGCCTTTCGGATTTTGACCCTGCTTTTTTTTTTTTGGGCCTTATCCGTTTTTGCCGTTTTTTTTTTTACTTTTTTTTATCGGTTGTTTTACGGCTTACCCATTTTTTAAGAAATGGAATTACCCTTTTTAAAAGAATTTTTTTTTTTTAATTTTTACCATTGATTTCTTTTGTGGTACTTATTTTTTACCTTTTTTATTTTTTTTTCGTTTCCGTATAAATTGTAGCCGTACTGAACTGCAAAAAAGAAAAAAAATAATAGCTTTTTCTTTTTTTTACGCGAGGCTGTTTTTTGATGAAATGTAAAAACTCCAACTTTGGCTCGCAAACGTAAACGGCAAAAGTTGGAGCCTGCCCAGTTCAAACCAGCTTCTTCGACGTTACGCATGTTTCCCCCAGTCATCATGCCCCTGCGTCCTAGGAGTATTTTTAAATGGCAGATATGAGATGACGTGAGAGAAAACAAATTTAGAAGTTTCCGCCGAAGAAGCCGCGTCAAGCGGTCGAGCGCTTATAATTAAATAGCATCTACCCCATATAAAGTAGTAGTATCTACCCCGCAGCATCCTCCGAATTTTTTCATGGCTTAAAAAAAAAAAAAAACGCGTATAGGTATTATGTACACTTATACGTATATATATAGAAAAAAGAGATAGGAAGACGAAGACGATAACAGCGTCGACGGCGGCGACGACGACCACGGCGACAACGGCGACGTTTGTAGAAGAACCTCTCTCCTCAGCCCCAACCCCCCTGTTCGCCTTCGCCCCCCTTTTGTTATGCCCTATGTTTTCGATCGAGATATTCCCCCTTTCTGAACACTCCCAAATTTGAAGCCAAGCGTTTTATCATGATAACCGTTTATGCACCGGCATTACTAACTTTTGGGCAGTTAATAACAACGGCAAGATGTAGCAACCTGATGAATTACTTGTTCTTTTGGGGCGGGGGTGGGACGTCACCATCAGATCAAAGTGGAATGAATACACATGGTCAGGGCAAAGGAAGTTTTAGTAAACATATCGAGGATTACTTGGACGACCAAGTAAAAATTAACCTACGCAGTAAAAAAAACAGTTATTTAAAACCTATATTTACAAACCCAGAGCAAGAAATTCATTACTACCTTAGAAATGATGGCAATTATGATGAGCTCTATGCCAAATACCCCTTATGTGAAGCAAAGTACAAAATCGCTGATAAACTAAAAAGGTGTAATGTATTACAAAGCTCCATGAACAAGTCCAAAAAAATAGCTATAATAAAGACGTGCATAGTGGAGATGTATGGTGTGCTATTCGTTACTGTTAGGAACACAAACGACATATTGTCAGTGATTGCTACTGTCTATGGGTACGTACCATATGTATTAATACTTTTAATATTATTGCAAATGTTACTAACTTTTAACAAATTTTTGATTTACCTAGCTTTTATTATCCCCACCCAGTTAACACTAAACGATTTTGTATTGAAGAATTTGCTGAAAATGGATCGACCCGTTCATAGTGCACTACAATCATATGGAATGCCATCCGGACATAGCTCCTTTGCTTTCAGTTTACTCACTTTTATATTACTGCATCTAACAGAGTCCAAAAAGGATAAGTGGTCCATAATGACCTACATCCTTGCCATCATTGCACTCTTACCAATACCTTGGAGTCGTGTTTATATTCAAGATCATACCTTTTACCAGGCTGTCTTTGGCTGCATCTTAGGAATCATCATCGGTGTCATTTCCTACATGGTAAAGAGGCAATGTATGAAGCACAAGGATAACACCGAGTAGGGGCAAAGGAAAACAGAGGGAGCAGACCACACAATTTATTTGTTTAAGCGAAAAAGCCAGAAGTGTATAAATAATATCCCCCTTGTGGGTGGGCTATTTCATTTCGTTATGCCCGGCAGAACCTAACCCACCACGTATTAGAGGTCTTTAACATTCCACGGGGATGCCTCTCCCCAAAGGGAAGCGCAAGAGGATGGCGGAGGGATGCTTTTAACCCCAACTGAGGATTCCCAGTTTGAGGTCTCCCCAATGAAGCCTATCACCGCCCACACATGTAAGCATAATAAATAGAGCAGCCCCCCCTGTGAACATTATTGCATTTCAGAACAGAAACATGTGAAGAAAGTCTTACCATGGGGCGGGGGAGAGGGTAGTTCAAAATTATATACCCCCTACCCCTGTCTGAACAAATTTTTGTAAATCCCATGGTTTTGTTTGTTTTTTTTTTTTAACGCCGCCCGGATGATTATTTATACGATGGTGTTGCACATACGAATAGAGATAGAGGTGTCAAGTGACAACGCTGAAGGTGCACATGCATATTGTTATGGTTCTTACGCTTCTTCCTTTTTTTTGTCGGAGAAGACGACCCGAACCTACCGAATACCCATCTCCCTTTGCGCACTTGGCCGTTGTACAGTTTGCACGGTACCGTGCATATAAGGGGAAGTGTACACATGTGTACATATATATTTATATATATGTATGGGTGTTATATATTTATACAAGTGTGTCTACCTGAATACATTTGAGGCATAGATATATAGAAGTGCACTCTCTCCTGCGTTTGGTACTTTTTATTTTTCCCCCCCCCTTTCCACTCAATATGTTTTATCACCTTTTATTTATTTTTTTTTTTTGTTACAATAATTTTTCCCCACGCTATATATTAAGATATATATATATATATCACTCCTGTTGTTCTCTTTTTGTTTAAATTTCTACATGCCTGCATGCATGCATCTGTAAAAAGAAGCCCTACGCCGCAAGCACACTTTTAAGCAGCGGGTTTTTTTTTTTTTTTACCTGCCAACTCCCTTCACTTCTATACCCAAATAAAAACTTCTTCATTGATAAACTTGATTAAAATTTAGCCCTAATTTTTTTTAAAACTTTTAATACAAGTTTGGACACCCCCCGTTGGAGGAGGTGTTTTTGCAAAATGTGGGGGGAATATGCAAAAATGGGAAAACGTTAAAAATAAGCTGAAAAGGAAGAAGAGGCGGCCTGCCTACACTTACACACCCGACATAACTTTTTGCAGCTTTTATAAAAAGTACTAAAAAAGAACCAAAAATTAGATTTTCCAAATGAGACAAAAAAAAAAAAAAGAAAAAATAAAAAGGAAAAAACGAAGAAGTGGAACAAAGCAAAGTGGAAGAACGACACGCATATAAAACGCTGCAATGAGGGGGACGTAACGTGTGGGAAAAATTCTCCTCACAAAGTATGTCGCACAGTTGGGTGCCCTTAAAAGCGTTCACGTAGATGTAACGTGGTGGTGGGCACCATACGCGCGTACTCTGTCCCTTGCTTGTTGCTTAGTGTTGATTTGTCCTCCCCCTTGCGGTTTTCTCCCTTCTTGCAGCTGCCCCTTCCTGGTCACTGCAACTTACAGGACCACCAGGGGTGCATGCACAGGTCCTTCAGGTTCAGTTTCTTCCTGTGCTCCACGTGTAGCAGTTGCTGCGGGGGGGAAATAATGGGCGTATAATATATAAGCATATAAAGAGGGGAGGCAGACAAAATGGAAAAAAAAAAAAAGAGAGAAAAAAAAAGCAGGAAACAACGGTCCACACACAAACAAGGGTGCTTCACATAACTGTGCTTAGCTGTGCCGCTTCGCCGCTCAATCGCTTCGCAGCTTAACCGCTCCACCGCTCCACCGCTCAATCACTCACCTTGATGATGTTCTTCAAATCGCTCGGCCACTTGCGAGTCAACTCGAATTTGTCAAAGTTCATGTCACACTTGACAAAATAGAAAAAGTCCTCATCCTGCAGAGGGTCGGAGCACTTCCACAAATTGCCATTGGTCCAGATCCAAAAAAAAAAGACACCCAACATAAATTTGTCCGCACTAGAAACGTCAAAGTAAAATTGTTTCCGCTTCTCCTGATCGGTGATGTTCTTTAGGTCCTTCAGAGGATTCTTAATCTTCATCGTGTCATACTTCCAATAAATCTTCCAGCACTCAGGCGGCATGTAAGCTCCCTTGGCAATGGTAGGTTCACACGATTCAAACAAATACAAACGATTCACATCTTTTATATGTCTCAAATTGTAAGTATATATTGGAGTACTCTTAGACAAGTCACATAAACGCATCTCGTAGCTATCGGAAATTAAAATATTTTCTGGGGTCAAATCTAAGTGAGACAAACCTGCATCATGTAACCTTATTAGTAACTTCAAACACTGGTACAAAATATAGCTCTTTTCATTGTTATTAATTTTCATATTTAACTTTTTCTGTCTGCGATCAATAAAGTCTAAAATGTCTTCACTGAAAAACTCAGAGACGATCACAATGTTTCCACTTATGTTGCATTTTAATCGCTCCGTTAGAATATCATTGAATAAGGTTAGACTGTTAAACATGGACTTTGGTGGGATGGTGTACTCATTTGGTTCCTTCCCATCGGGTTCGTACAAAATGCGATGCAACTTGGGGGTTATACCTGGGTGATACTCATTCAGGAAAGCTAAAGAAGTTGCTTCCATAACGAAATTCTCCCCATCTGTTACATATTCTCCATCGTACTCACTCATTAAGTTGTACTGCTTGATCCATATGTATATGGGGACCTTCTTCAAGAATAGCTTCACCTCATTCTTAGTGTGCCCATCCTTCGAAGGGATCACTGCTTTGTACATCTGCTGCACTCGGTTACTAGACTTGGAAAAACCTAACGTCGGGATGGATGTCAATTGCCAATCGGCGTATTCTACTCCGTTAAAATGGTAATCATGTGCACTGTGCAACATTTTGAGAAGAGATTTTTGAGCCAACTTCCAGTTGTATATACACTTGGACTTTATTTGTTTTTCTATCACATTGCTGCCTCGCCGTATGGGCTTGCTTATGCATTCCTTGAAAGGACTCATGAATGGACCTCCTACTCCCCCTTGGTTACACGTCTGGAAGGGACTAGACATGCCGTAAAACTCGCTGTGCAACTGTCCCGGTAGTTGAGTATGCAGTGGAGACGTCATCTGAGGGTGCATGACCATACCCAATTGGGCGTGCATCTGAGGCGTCACCTGCACATTCATTTGGGTGCAGCCTATCTGAGGGCCCACTTGTGTTCCCATTTGCGCGCCCATCTGGGCAGGCCCCTGCGCGTGCATTTTGGGCCCGTGCAGAACGTCCATGTTGGGGAACAAATTGTGTTCATTGTCGAATGCAGGAATGAGGTTCTGCTCTTTAGATGCGCCGCTCTTAAACTTGTTCCAGATTTTTTTTATTTTCTGCTTCGAAATCATCAGCATCTGGTTCTTCTGTTCCTTCATGCTATCACATTTTTTAGGAGGCAACAGATAGTACCTCTTACCAGACGCGTAATTCGATTCCGGTTCATTGCACATTCTCGTGCTCCTGTTTAGCATTCCGGGGTCCTTGTCCGCATTATAATAACCTTTGTAACTGCCTCCGTTATAACCGCTTCCGTTATAACCATTCCCGTTGTAACCACCCCCATTGTAGCCGCCCCCGTTGAGGTTATTATTCCCCATGTAGTTGTAACTTCCGTTGTTCTGCTTGCGCAATATATGGGAGTCTTCCCGGACATCGCCCCCTTTGTCTGCTTGCACATGGTATGCATCTCGCACCGCAACAGGCGTTGCTGCCGAAACTGCAGCAGCAGCTGCCGCCCCTCCTCCTCTGCTTCTAAGATGCATTCCCGGAACGGCCGCACCAGAATTGTTCATCGCGTCTGCACTTTTCTTCTCTCCCATGTCTCTACCGCGCCCGGATCCATAATACGCGTTCGCTGGGTTGTTGTTCCTCAAGTCCTTAGCCAAATTATAATGAGCATGGTTACTAACAACCATGTCGTCATTAAACGTGCTAGTTGCATTCTCATATTTTATGTTCCTCAAAATGTTTTCTGGAATTGTACTCTTAAAATATTCTTCCAAACATTCATCATTTTCATTTTTCGAATATTCAAGTAATTGGCTTTTTCTCAATGTCGTTTCATTTTTCTTCTTCATTCTGTCTACCTCTTTCCCACTGTAAAAATTCTTCTTCTTGTACATAGCTTCATTGGGGGGGGTATGGGCTTCCCCGTGGAGAGAATCCCTCTTGCTGGTATTGTAATTTCGTCCCCCGTTGTTCACATTCATACCGCTGGCCAGACCACCAACAGGAGTGCTAACCATCATGTTAATCGGGCCTCCCTGTCCCCTCTTCTCGCTCACTACGCACTTCTTCTCCAGCGCGCTGTTACTCGCCCCTGGTGTGTAAAGGGCTTTATTACTATGACCTGCTGCTACGTAACTACCAACCCCGCCCTGGTTCGGCTCACCACCAACGAACTCACCAAATGCATTTTCTTCTCCCTCCTCCTTCCCTTCACAAGTGTTAGGGACATTACTCACCACTTGGCTGTACCCCAAGTTGTTATCAAATATGAACTCTTTTTCCTTTTCTGAATGGGAACCTTTCTCTCCTAAACCATTTTTAAACTCCAAATTGTTTGCATCAGGGTAGGAAGTAAAGTGCCCCGAGGTGATGACGGAGACACCGTCCTTGTCGCTTACCCTATTTGAATAGACTCCAGGATGGTTAACAACCAGTTGAGGAATGTCCTTCACGGAAGAGGAACATTCTGTGGTGCTATCATTCACATTCTCTATATCGTTGAAAAGGTCCTGATGATATGCAACCGTCTTTAAATCTTCTTTCTTTGCGTACAGGTAGTCTTTACTATCCGCTTCGTACTGCGGTGCTTTACTTCCACTCGCTTGTATCCCCATATAAATTACGTCTTCCGTGGTACACTTGTTCTCGTCCTGGGGATGATAGCCACCTCCGCGGTGATCACTTCCAAGGTGACCCCCTCCAAGGTGACCACCTGCTGCTGCATGGAAACCATCGCCTCCCACATGGTCGCTCCACTTCTTCCCCATCAGCATATGGGGGTAGTTGGCCAAACTTTGCTTCCCACCATCGCGTGGGTGTCCTCCTTCCCCGTTAGCGACTGAGCCATCAATGCAATAGTTGGTGACTCCCCCCTGGTTGTCCTTACTATACGAATACACACCACCATCGGTATGATTGTGCGACGCGAATTCACTGCTGTTATCTTCCGTTGCATGCACATATGCATTGGTATAATCTGTGTCATCCATGTTATCCGTGTTATCCTTACCCGGGATGGAAAAATTTCCTGTGGTCATGCAAAACGGTTCGCCTTCCTTTACGCCATTCTTATGGCCACCATTAATAATGTTATTCTTCTTCGTCTGCTCTTCCATCATCTGTGCGAATATTTCTTTCTCCTCCATGGACATGTTGGTGTAATCCACTGCAAAGGTATCTTCGCTTGAGCCCCCTTTTGATGCCTCTGTAACGCTATGCTTCATCCCATCGACATCAACTCCGTAGGGGGAAGTATCTTCGCCTTCTTTTGCTTCCACGGAGGAGAATCCCTTGGGATAACAACCGCTCTCTGTGTTATCCATGCTATCCCCGTTGCAACCTGTACCAGTCCCCCCCATGACATCAAAATACTTCGTACTTGTGACATTCCTGTTATACACATTACCATTCGACACAACCTCCGTGTCCATCCTTCCCATGCACATGTTGTCTCGACCTTCCTCCACGTGTTCCGCATTTGCAGAAACATTTTCATGCAACGCTTTTTTCATACTTACGTTGGGGATTTGAGCAGAAGGGGTGTGTCTTCCACTGGTTGTTGTCTCCATGGTGCCGTCATCAAGGGTCTCTGTTTTGGAGAAATCTACCGCTGCGTCGCCTTTTGCGCGATTAGCAGCATTTCCCTTATTTTTGCTCTTCGCACCCTTTGCACCTTTTGCACCTTTCGACTTGGGCCCCTTTGGGGAGTTGCTCAACTCATCACCTTGGCATTTCTTTACTCCATCATCCAGGGTGTTACTCGTCTCATTCTCCTTGTCCAACTCCAGAGTTTTTTCATACTTCACGGGCAGGTAATTACTAGACTCTTCCTCCTCATCATCATTGCTTCCATCACAGGGAATCGTCTTGGACTTGCTATACTCGATTTTTCCCGTTGTCTCAATCATCCTTTAGGTTTTTTTATTTTATTATTTTTTTTTTTTTACAGGGTTATGTATGGGGTAGTATATACTATATGTAGGCTACCCGGTACAGAATTGCACAGTTGTAGGTCTCCCTCTTACGTCGTTACAAATGAGTTTTGGACTGGGAGGGGAGAAGAGGCACGAATAAAGCGCATGCAAACTAGCTTCTCCTTTTTTTTGAGGCACTTTTTAAAAAGTGTAACTTTGCTGTTCCCACGTGGTAACTTCAACACCCCCCCCCAGTGGGACAGCGTTGTCAATAAAATGGAGGATGAAGTCAGCAGAAACAAAAAATACAGAGAGACATTCAAAGGGGAAGTGTTAACTCTCGAGGCATATTTACTTGATGATTAGATTACACATACGTGGTGTCATTAGGAGGGGTGCCGTCCCAACGATAAGGCAAGCGGGAAAAAATAATGCACAGTTTAGCAAAGAATGAAAAGTAAAAGTATACGAAGAAAAAAAAAGCAGACAACGGGTGGATAATTATATATGCATGTGTACTACTCATACACATATTTATATTAGCGCACGAATGTGTGCCACTATCCACCCCACGGCAAAAAAAATAATAAAACGAAGCTTCATTCCTCAGAAAAAATAAACCAACACAAGTGGGTTAATATATATATATACATAGACAATGCAAATGAAATGTAAAACTACAAAATTGTATTAAACAGAGACGTTGTTTCATTTAATGCGTGGAGCTAGCCAAACAAAAAAAAAAAAAAAAAAAAAAGGAAACAACGAAATTGTCACACATAAAGGCTGTGGTTTAGGGTCATTGACAGGTGTATTGCAGAAGGCGCACAAAAACGGAGGGAACGGGAAGAGAGACAGAGATGGGCAAACGTCAAACGTGTCAAACGATAACGTTTTGTGAAAAACACATGAGAAATGTGTTAAGGGACCAAAAAGGAACCAAAAATTATAAAAAAAAAAAAAATTAACACAATAACAAGCAATACTATGCAAGGGTTACACCAACGTAACGCCTAAGTTGTACATTGTGTCTTTACACGCGCTTCTCACCTATTGAGGACAAAGAAACCGTGCGCAGCGTGAAAAAAAGGCGACGGCGCTGCGATATTTGGGTAGTAACAGCCAAAGCTGTGTTCATAATATTGAAATGAAAAAAAAAAAAAAAATACCAATGTGGCGCGACAAAATGTAGCAAACGCGGTGAAGAAAAACAAAATAAATCATGCGGGCGCGCTCTTACTAAAGGGTGCAACGAACGGGTACCCCAAGAGCCATGTGTCTAACAAGCTAAAGTGCCATCGTTTCACCTGAATGCAAATTGTCTGTATATGGAAACAATATTGAACTAGGAAAAAATTCTTGTCTTCACGCACGTCAAGCTTTGCGTGGTGAAGAATTTGCAATGGTGAAAAGCGGACCATTAACATGGCATTGTTAGCTCGTTCGTAAAGGTAAAAAAAAAAAAACATATATATATACATATGTGACACATGTGTGGGTGTGTTGTGCTCGGTGTAAATTGTAGAAAAAGTCTCATTCGTGAGATGAACGGTCATGCCTTTTCACTTTTTCTCATTTTTATTTTTTCACCCTAAGGGTCACCGAACTGCGTCAAAATTGCAGGCGTGCGCTGCGGACGTGGACGCGTAAACACGAATATACAGGCATACACGTGAGGATGCCTACCTACCAAACGTGCATTCAAAGGCTCATATGCACATGTGTACAATCATACATGCATGTCCTTTGCGCGTAAGAAACGCTGCCCCCAGGGGTTGAAACGTAATACATGTGCGTATGTATATATATATATGTACATATGTGTACGTATGCACAGTCGTATATTTTCCCCAAGCGGCTTAAAGATTTATGCAATTAAATAAAAACGAACTGGAAGACATGAGGGTTTACGTTTTTAATAATCTTTTAAAATTCACTTAATTATGCATAATGTGTGTGTACTTAAAAGTGGAATGCCAGGACATGAGGAGCGCCAAAAAAAAAAAAAAAGGTTGCAGTGCATGGCGGGGGCGGCAAATGTACATTGGACAGTAAAAAATGGCGAATGGGGTACGCACGTGATTTGGTTTGGACATGAGACGCGCATAAGTGGTACAGACAACGGGTCGGGATATGTATGCACAGAGGCACACTTACACACGCGTGTGTCCTCGATGTGCGCCGTACTCGGTGTAAATTAGTTGTCGACTGAAACGCTGAACACGCAGTGCGCAGCTCGAGGAGCGCAACTTTAAGCAGGGTTCACAATTGTTGACAAACAAAAAAGCAAAGCGGCATTTTTTTTTTAAAGTGGAAAAAGGGCAAGTGTAAACCTGGGGGTGCCGCAGAAACGTGAAGGGGGTGAGCAAACTGTCAAGGTAAGTAAATTGAATAAAAATGTATAAGCGAGAAAATGCAACAAGTGTAACAAGTGTGAAAAATGCGATAAGTGTGATAAATGTGACAAGTGTGACCAATGCCATGGATGAGATAAATGTGCGAAGGGGTGAAAAATAAGCAAACATGCATATGCAGGCAAAAAAAAATGGTCAAAAAAAAAAAAAAAAAAAAAAGCGCTAGTTTGCTCATACAAGAATTCATCAGAATGGCAATAAATTTTTTTATTTTACCACTCGTTTTTCGTTCATTTTTTCTGATTTTATGCTGCAATTTCGATCGCTTATATCTTTTTCTCCGGTTAAGATCAAAATTACGAGCTGCTTCCTTGTGAGCATATATTGAAACTTGAAAAAAGGACATTCATTCAGCACGAGCGCAATTGTGTTATGGATGTAAAAAAAAAAAAAAAAAAAAAAGCAATCATAAAAAAATAAAAGCTGTTTGAGAGAGAGTTCCGGATTTTTATTTTTGTCAAATTTAAAGAAGGTTGGAATTTGTCTCCCTAGTGTGCTTTTGTATGATGAGTGGCATTTCGTCATCTGGTCACAGTTGCTTATTTTGTCACAAAATTGCCACCACTTTATTGCATTGCATTGTGTTGAATGAATTGTATTTTTTTTTTTTTAACACCCGGCTGATCAAATTTGAACGTGTTTTCGTGTCCACGTGTGCGATTTTGTATTTATGTGCGTGTGTCCTCATGCGCATAATGCCCAATCGTCTTCGCAACGCGCAGTGTTTACGGACGCATATGCATATTCGTAGCCTGCGTGTGTGTCAATGTGCGACAGAGCATGGCGATCTGAAGCACACACAAATGGCTTAACGTGCACATGTGTAATGATCCGTATGAATGTGTGCTCCTCTTCAAGGGAGGCGCATTTCCGCTCATACTTTGCACTTGCACATATATTTAATTACACATATGCATCCGCTTATATATAAATGTACACTTGCGATCGGTAAGTATGCACACCTCACCCATACACCTTTACGGCCCATCCACGCGCAGCTACGTGTAAGAACATACATACACATGTCGCTGTTTTCTCATGGTACGCTCACACAAAAAAAAAAAGATCAAAAAAAAAAAAAAAAAGAGCAACCAGAATACGCACAGCAATTTCGTGTTACAAAAAATGTACACAGAAGGTGTACTACGATGATGACAGTTCACGAAAGGGCAATATGTAAATGTTAATTAATTTTACTTTTGTGTTTTATTGTATTTTTTTTTTTTTTTTTGAATTGGCACATTTATATGAATATTTTAGTGGAAGCGAAAAAATACGGGTATATATTTTTTTAAAAAATTCCCAAGCATTGTTACTTTTTCGTGAGAATATTTTAAAATTATGGAGGCGAAATATTCACCATTCTGTTTTATCACATAGAAAAGATCTTGAAATATGTTTTTTTTCTCCCCCACGAAATGCAAGGTAAAAAGTGCATTCCATATTATCACGCAAATGGGAGTGTAACTTACATGCGCAGTCTCGCTTTTCTGAACGAATTTTGCAAGTAAATACATCCCGTATAATATGAATACGTGCAGATGTGCACATGCTCGATATGCGTACCACATGTATGCACAACGAGTCCAAGTCCGCGAGAGCGAAACTGCTTTCGCAAATGTGCCTTTCTTCTGACTGCTCTTTCCAACCTGCGCAATGCACTATTATGAAGGCATTGCGATGTGCATAAAAATTCCCAAGTTATTCTACCTGATAGTCCTACTAAAGCACATACGAAGTATGCATGTGCGAGCGTTGTCCGTAGTGATAGATATTATTTTTTCCTACCATACATTACGCGCGTGGAGCATGTGAAAAAACGTTATTCACCGAGTAATTTTTTTTTTTTTTTTTTTTTTTTTTCGCTTGTTTGCATCACTTTTTGCCTGAACAGGTCAGAAAAAAAAAAGTGTTCCTCATCCAAATCAATAGCTTTTTCATACCCCTCATTACGAATGAAGAACTGGATAAATTTTAGTTGCAAAAGAATTGCAACTTCACAGGGATTATTAAAATATTGATTTTGTAAAACAATTGGAATGTTCAACTTTTTGAGCAAATTCCCCAGAAAGAAGTATTTATTTCGTATGTCCAATATATTTGCATGTCTGAGTTGTTCTTGGGTTATGTAACCATATCTGTAAAATATGAGAAAGATTTTTATGCAATCTGAAAAATCGTTAACAATATGAGGGGTGTAGTTGTCTGCTTCTTCCACTTTATCTTTAAATAGGACATACGTTGCAAAGCTGTTCAATATGCAGTCCTTCCATTTGGTCTCCCCCGATTTGTATTCCTCCTCATTGGAAGATTCATCCCCTCTGAGATGTACTTTCTCCTTGTAATGTGCCCTCGGGGTGACGTCAAACGGGTTTCTCATGGTCTCCCTATGGAGGGGCACCTGAAATTTCCTAAGTGTTTGATTATACCAGTTTAACAAGGGAGCTGCTATTCTGGTCAAAATGGAAAACTCGAATTTGTTAAAAAGCTGTATTAACAATATATGAATTTTTTTTTCTCTCTGTTCATATATATCTAACGAAGAAACCATGGAGTAGTAGTATGGGTTGTTTCCATAAATGATTGACAAAGCTTTTTCCAAATTTTGGATTGCACATATTTTTTTCCTCGCTTTTGGAAATATGCCTTTAATTTCCACCTGGGGGTTGTAAAGCTGAATTAGCCTTAAAATTAAGTACCCATTCTGTAGCTCTTCGTAAATGTTTTGTTCATTTATATTTTTTTTACTTAATTGGAGACTGTTTAGCCAGTCAACAATGACCGAGATGGAGGAGATGTCCAAGTATTTGGTCTTCTGTAGGGTGTCTTTATTTTTTGCAAGTGTCGTCTGCTTGGTAATTTCGTTGTAGACACTCCCCTTGTGTGCGCAGATGAGTGGCTTCATTGGGGCACCCCGGGGGTACTCATACCTCCGTAATTGTACACACGTGGAGAACTACGTGTATGTGAGGGTGACGTCACTTGGTGGACAGCTGCGCTGTTCTCGTCCACCAGATGACTGCTTTGACCGGTCAGTGGTGCCCTCTTGGCTCCTCAAAAAGGTACATTCGCTGTACCTCGATCTGTGTGTGCATATGCGACAAGGAGGCATGCACACGTGTGGGTGAAGCAAAGGTGTACGTAAGGCAGGATGAGCCCTTTTTTCTTTCCTATAACGTAAAAAAAAAAAATTACTTTTATTCTTTTTTTATATTTATCCCCTACAAATACGACCATGCCGTAAAGTGGCGCTTTAACATTTTTGATGAGGAGTTGTCTCACCATTTAAGGGGGCCAAAGTTATTACTCGTTTATATCACCAATAAGTACCAACACAAATGGGAAAACAAAAAAAAAAAAAAAATTGCTACAAATAGACATGCAAAAAAGCAAACAAGGTAGAACAACAAAAAGGCAGCTCTGCGTCTGCGCGAGTAGGACAGTGAAACAATCCTTTCTCAAAAAAAATGGAAATAATTCTTTCCGTGTATTGTGCAGCGGAGGGGTATTTTTTTTTTTTTTTTTTTTTTTTTTT